TTATATATTTTAATACACTGCCAAAGTGTAACACTTTTATGCTTATATTGGAGCATTGTTCTTTTGACAACCCAAACAAAGAACTTTCTATACCAAAATCTAACAAAGAATCATCTCTAAAAGTTTTAAAGTTAAATTGACAAGTATTCATTGACGCTTTTGTTGTTATTTTTTTGTTGAAATTTATTAATTGTTTTAAAGTTCCTGTTTTATAATTTTAAAAGCATTTCTTATTTTTTCAAATCACAAAAATATATTCTTATTTAAAGGTGTAGTTATCCTAACCATTTAAAAACAACAACAACAATGTCTAAAACTCATATAATGTTACTTCTATTACAGCCAATGTTGATAAAAATGTTTATAATATAATTGTATATTACATATAATAAAAAGAAATTAGGATTTGTAAAGTATTTTTTAGGTTAAAGCTGTTTTAGTATTTGGCCATCCTTTGTTTCTTATGACTTCCACACATCTAGAAGGCATACTATCTACAAGTCTTTTTAATAAGTCATTTGGCAAAGCATTCCAACCATCAAGAAGAATTTGGAACAGATCATCTTTATTTGTTGCCCTACGATCTTTTAATTTTTTATCCAAAAAAGATCAAAGGTTTTCTATTGGATTTAAATCAGGAGACTGTGCTGGCCAAGACATCACTGGAATCAATTTAGATTCTAGATATCTTTTATTCAACCGTGCTGTATGTTTGGGATCATTATCCTGTTGAAAGATATAGTCACCATTAGGAAAAAGTTCTTTTATACTTGGTCCAAGCCGGTTAATTAAGATTTTGTGATACAAATGTTGGTCCATAATGCCCTTCACCCGGTAAAGTTTTCCAACTTTGTGTGCACATAAACAACCCCAGACATTATTATTTTTGTCATGTTTAATAGTTGCCTTGCACGTTTGAGGATTGAATTTTTCCCCAATTAATTTCCAACAGTGAGATCGACCATTATAATACAAAACAAATGGAGACTCATCGCTCCAGATAACGTTAGCCCATTGTTCACATGTCCAATCTTTGTGCTCAATGCACCACTTTACACGCTTTTTTCGATTGATTTCACTAACAAAAGGTTTTTTAATTTGCTTTCCAGAAAAAAAATCACTTGATGCTTTAATCCTGCGAGATATTGTCCACTTTGAGATATTAGTAAGGTTCAAATCTAGTTTTTTCTCAGAACGAGTGATTTTACGATTTTTTGTGACAGCATTAAGAATGTAGCGATGTTCCTTTTTTGAAGTTTTCGGTTTTCTGCCAGATCCAAAGCCTTTTCAGTTTTACCAGTGTGTTTGTATTTTTTTTACCAATCTACTAATAGTTGAGTTTTCTCGTTTAAAACGCTTTCCAATGCTTCTGTGAGACTCTCCTTGGTCAGCAGCTTCAATAATTCGTCAATTTCTACATCTGTAAGATGTTTTCTAAAATATAAATGTGCCCATAATAATCTATTTTTTAAACATTTTGTTTATAAAAATATTAGTTTATATATAAACATACCTTTTCTGCCCTATATTCTTCACTGCCACCTCCAATTTTTTTTGTTTTGCATTATTATACATTTTATGCTTAAAATATAAAAAAAAAATTAGTGTGGCTTTTTTTTTGCACCCCACTGTATATATATATATATAATGAATACTTGAGGGTATATAAAAGTAACTTATATATTTTAATAGCTTTATATATATATATATATATATATATATATATATATATATATATATATATATATATATATATATATATATATATATATATATATATATATATATATAATGCTATTAAAATATATAAGTCACTTTTATATACCCTCAAGTATTAATTATTGTATACTATTTAACTACAAATTAAATATAAGAATTTTTTTTGTTACTTGTATGCTCATATAGTTTTAATTTTGTTAACCAAGTTTTAAAGAAATAGTATTTTTTTTTTTTTCTATTTATCCTAAATTAAAATTTCCCTAACTAATCAAAATCAAAATTATCAACGCTCTTTGGGTGCTTTGATTTGGTAACTTTTAGATTTCAAAAATACTGTTTTTGCATTGCAGATCCGGTGTTAAGATTCGCGGATACCTAATAAATCAAGTTGGCGAAAGTTTGATGTTTTTTGCATAGTGTAAGCATTATTGCTGCATATTATAATCACATAATAATTTAGTTTCGGGGTCGTTACGGATGCTCTAATGCTTTAATGCCCTATACAAAGAAATATAGAGATTAAAAAATTTGCTTTCCTGAACAACTAAATCCTGCATATTGAACTTTGGTTTATAGATTTTATATTATTTTAATTGTTTTGTTTTGTTTAGATGGTTCTATTAATAAACAAGCAAAGTTCTTTACTAAATGAACGCCAACTTCTAACAAAAGAAATCGAACTATTACGTAACCATCTTATGAAAATTTATTAAATCATTGTATGATGTAATTAAACTCATAACTTTGTATTGATTTTTTGTTTAATACGTTATTTCACTTATTTGTTAAAATCTTTTATATTTTCAACTTTCAAATTCCAACTTATTTCTTTCAAATAACAAGATTATGACACTTTTTAGCAACATGAACATGGAATTAGTCATAATTTCCGAATAGTATAGATTAAACAAACTATCATTAAATTTCGATAAAAGCATATACTACCTAGTAATCTGTCGTTAAAAGCATATACTACCTAGTAATCTGTCGATAAAAGCATATACTACCTAGTAATTTTTTGCTTTTTATTGGTAATATAATTATAAAAAAAAAGTTTTAGAAACAAGATTTTTAGGTGTCTATATTGTAGGGATGTACCGGAATTTTTGTCTTTTAAATCAATTCGCTTCTGGCTGGAATTAATTTTTTTTTTTTTGTACTTTTTTTTTATGAATTGTGACACAGGGTTTGTAAATAAATTAAAAAATCATTATCCTACAGAGCAATGAAGAACTATATAGGTAAAACAAGGTAAAAAATACAAATGTAATTTTTGCAAATGTATTTGCAGTACTACTATTTCTGCAAATAAAATTACATTTGTACTTTTTACCAAGGTTTATCTATAGTTCTTCATTGCTCTGTAGGATGATGATTTCTTGATTTATTTACACAGCCTGTGCCACATGTCATAAAAAAAAAAAAGTAAAGAAAAATTTTTAAATCCAGCCAGAAGTGAATTGATCTAAAAAACAAAAAATCCGTCCGGAATTCCGGTACTACTATATTGACGAAAATCTCACATGGAAAAATCAGAATGCTAACTTATGCAGGAAAATTTGAAAGATTATAGGCATTTTATACAAAACAAGATATTTTCTTGATAAGCATACCTTAATTCAATTATATTACTCGTTAATTCATTGCTATATTAGGCGGGGTGAATAAAAAAAAGTTTCAGAAAAATTGCTTTTACTCAGCGTATTTGGAAAAATTGTTCAACTTTACGTGAATAAAAGTTTCAGCAAACCTATAAGTCTAGAAATCTATGTATATGGAAGTAAACCATCCTTTGAAAGTTGTTTAGCGTTGTCGGAAACGTAAACGCACCGTGTCTAGTAACTCTTCTGGCTCTCTAGGTTTTTTCTTCAATCTTATTGACAATCAGGAAATGTATTGGGAAGTTCTGGCATATTCATAACTGTATTCATCGATTATATAAGGTGATATACATTATGTTGAGTAATTTTATAGCGATTAATAAGATTCATTAGTGCAAATTGGCATATGTGCGAACTAACATAAGTGCGAAACGTTGCAAAAACTGGCATATGTGCGAATTGGCATAAGTGAGCCAAAACATTTTGCAAACATTGGCATAAGTGCGAATTGGCACAAATGCGAAGCAGTTGCAAAATCTGGCACAAGTGCGAATTGGCCGAACAAATTTGCAAACATTGGCATAAGTGCGAATTGGCTTATATGCGAACTAGCATAAGTACGAATCAGTTACAAAATCTGGCACAAGTGCGAATTGGCATAAGTGCGCCGAACAAATTTGCAAACATTGGCATAAGTGCGAATAGGCATAAGTGCAAAGCAGTTACAAAAACTGGCATACGCGCGATTTCGCATAAGTGCGCCGAATAAAAATGCCAACGTTTGCAAATTTATTTGGCGCACTTATGCCAATTCGCAGTTATGCCAGTTCGTACTTGTGCCAGTTTTAGCAACTGCTTCGCACTTATGCCAGTGTTTGCAACGCTTCACACATATGCCAATTCGCGCTTATGCCAGTTCGCGCTTATTCAGTCGTCCCATGCTAGCCGTAAACATCATAACAGAAGAATTAAAAAAAAATAAAGGTCTAATTTCATTAAAGCGGTTCTCTGTGACAAGACCTCAAATCTTCTTTTAGTATCCGCGTTCTTTATTTATTTAATTTTATTTCATTACAATATCTTTACTTGTAATTTTTATTTTATTTTTATCTGTGTTTTAAATATTGCAATAAAGAAGAAAACATAAGAAATAAAAGAAATGCAAGTAATAAAGTTGAAAATTAAAATTATGGATTTAAATTCTAAAAACGAGGCGCTATACACAAGCTGTAACTCATTAAGTTCTCAAAGAGAGGCTAAGAGTATTAGGCTAAAACAAGAGGAGTGTTTTCACCTTAATTTTTAAAAAATTTAAAAACAACTCAAACTAAATTTTTATCTCTTCGTGGTAAAAATGCAAGATTATTAAAAAAAATTACCTTAAATCAATATATTGCAAAAGTTTTGTTAGCGGTAAAAAGGACAATAATTTCTTACAATCGTTTAAAATAATGATTGTGGAATAAGTAATTCTTTTCGGACAATTATACGGAAAATATAATGATTTTACGTTTCTGAGGCAAGTGCGCTACCACTGCGCCACGGCTGCTCACAATTAACTATTAGTTGTAACAATTTAATATATAGATATAAAACTTTAATATAAAATTTAATATATAGATATAAAAACTTAACAATTAGTTATATCAATTTAATATATAGATATAAAAATAAATACCAAACAAATACTAAAGCAATTCTCTTTTTTATAATAAATAAGAAGACGAAACATTATCAGAAATTGGGTGAAGAATTTTACAAAAAGACTTTGGAAATTGGTTATCTATAAAAAAAAAAAAAAAAAAAAAAAAAAAATAGAACGCTTATTACCAAAGCTAAACGAATGGACTTCAATGAATCCAATATTGCTGTTACATCGAAATAATGGAAACAAACTATGCAGTTGCATTTAAAGCAGCAATATCAAATAAAACTTAGGAAGAAAAATACTCGACATTCTTAGTTATCATTGGTGAAAAAGGAAAAGAAATATTAAACTAATGACGATTTTGAAATTAATGACATCACAGTAAAAAAAAACTTTGAAAGATTCGAAGAATACTGTTTGCCAAAAAGAAATCTGGTTTTGGAAAGAAGAAATTTTTCCACGAAAGCAAGGTTTCAATAAATCATTTGATTTATTTTGTGACTGATTTAAAAAACATTGCTCAAACATGTGAGTTTGAAAATATTTAAGATGGTCTTATTATAAACAAAATAATTAACGGAATCAAATCAGACAAAGTTCGAAATAGTCTACTTCGAATAGGAGCGGATTCAACTTTTACAAAAGCGATTAACAAATGCAGAGCTGAAGAAGTTTCAAATGTAGAAATAGAATCAATTACAAACAAAAAATTATATTGATGTGGTTAAAAAATTCATAAAGCCAAGACAAGCAAATGCGACAAACGGACAAATACCGAAATGGAGAAAATTTGTGATAACAATTGTGATAACAAAATGATACAATTTAAAATGATAAAAATTGTGATAACAAAATGTGATAAAAATTGTGATAACAATTGTGATAACAAAATTGTGATAAAAATTGTGATAACAAAAATGTATCAAAAAGCAAAACAAACTGGATTGAATCATATAAATGAAACTGGAAACAAATGAATAATAGTTCAAATACAAAACTACAACAAAGGCAGTTATGAAATGCAATAGATTATTTTACTGGAACAATCAGGATTTTATAATAGTGGTCGACTATTATAGTCGTTTGGAAATCGAAAGATTAGATAACATCCAATCGCAAACAGTGATAAAGAAACTAAAAATGATCTTTCCCAGACTTGGCATACGCAGATAGTATAAAACAACAATGACCCACAATTCACATCTTCAGAACTCCAAAGACTTAGTAAAGGGTGGGAGTTTAAACATATAACTAGTAGCCCATAGTATTATCAATCAAACAAAACGCCTTACCTGACTGGGAAGTTAAGTCAGATCACGATCTAACCAACAGTTTGTATTGCACTCTCTAATATCGTGTGCAATCCTGTCCGCTTACTCTATGCTATCTTTCTAACTCGACTACTTCTATATTTTACTCTAACATATCTTCGTTCTTGCCAAACTCACTTTGCTCTTGGACTGTAGAGCAAGATATGACGCTCCCTTGGGAGCCGAAACAAGTCTCTGCAGACCTTGGTAATGTGGCCTCCACGAGGCAATTAGCTGGCGGAGGATAAACCACGATACCATCAAACAAAACGCCTGAGAGACATGTGCAAATAGCAAAAACGTTGCTAAAAAATATTACGACAAAAACGCGAAAACATTGCAAAACATTATGGATATAAATGGGGACCAGGAAAATTTGTTGAGAGCAAATAACTACGAAGTATAAATGTAAAAACATTAAATGGAAATTTTATTAGAAAAAACGGAAGACATCTACTAAAAGCAAACGAAGAAGTAGATTGGGATGGTAATTTATCAGATGATGGTAGCGATACTAATGAAAAAGGAAAAAAGTACAATCTCTGGAAGAGGCTTACAATGCTTTCGTGAAGGTAGAAATGGTGGAAACTTAAGAACTTTAGGTAAGTTTTATCATTCAATTATTGCTTCTGAGATTTTTCAAATACTTTAGAAAATGTTGTGCCTCCTGTTTTACCTATTATGTTAGGAATAGTGTTAAATCTGTTTAAATATAATTATTGAAGATATGTAAGATTGTCAGAGTGATTTATCTTTATCTTATTGTGAATATGTGAGAACGAGTGACATGTGGGCCGCAAAAAGCGTTAAATTCTCTAATACAGCAGAAGCCTTGCGCTTCTGTTGTATTAGAAAATTTAACGCTTAGGTAAGCAATTTGTAAACATTTCATCTACATATTCTATATTCTTTCAGGCACAATGGAATGCCAGTAAAAAAAAATTAAATAATTTTTCTTAATTAGAACGTATATCTTAAAACTCCTCCAATAAAAACAAAAACTGAAAAAAAAAATATACTGGCATTAGGTGTTTATTACAAAATATGATTCTAATATTGATTGAGTGCAGTGTGGTATGTGCCTCGACTGGTTTCATCAATATTGGGAAATAATTGGTAAATCTGAAAAGAGTCTATTGTGTATTATAGAGAAATATAAGTGTTTAGGATATCAGAGATTTATTAATATTAAATAATTTTATTTTACGGCTTTTTGTTTATT